TCCAATAAAGATTGAGGCGGTAATGAAGTGGCCGAGACCGATGACGGTAACAGAGGTTCGAAGCTTTCTGGGTTTGGCAGGATATTACCGACGTTTCATGGAAGGGTTTTCGGTAATAGCGACACCGTTGACACATTTGTTGAAAAAGGAAACAAGGTTTGAATGGACCGATAAATGTGAAAGGAGTTTTCAGGAATTAAAACATAGATTGACCACGGCACCGGCGTTGACTATTCTATCAGGACCCGGAGGATACGAGATTTATAGTGATGCGTCGTTGAAAGGACTAGGGTGTGTACTCATGCAAAATGGACAAGTAGTGGCCTACGCGTCAAGACAGTTAAGACCGCATGAGTTGAACTACCTGACGCATGATTTGGAGTTAGCCGCTATAGTATTCGCCCTTAAGATTTGGCGACATTATTTATGCGGAGAGAAATTTCAGATATATACAGATTACCATAGCCTTAAATATTTGTTTTCTCAAAATGAGTTAAACATGAGGCAGCGTCGATGGATGGAATTACTGAAGGATTACGATTGTGATATTTATATCACCCCGGGAAGGCCAACCGGGTAGCAGATGCATTGAGTTGGAAGTCAAGCATCGCACACTTGATAGTCAAGGAATGGGCTTTGTTGGAAAAAATGCGGGACTCGGAATTTAGATTCGAAGTAAGTCAAGTCTCGAGCTTGCTAGCCACGCTAAGGATTGAACCGGAGATCCAAGCTATGATTAAGACTTTGCAGTCTACGGATCGAGAAATCCAAAAGATTTTAGAGATGGATAATACCAAGAGAAAGCCGGACTTCCAGATATCCGAAGACGGGATATTGAAGTTCCGAGGACGAATATGCGTGCCTGACGATTCTGAACTTAAGGAAGAAATTTTGCCAGAAGCGCATTGTAGTAGTTATAGTATCCACCCAGGTAGTACCAAAATATATCAAAATTTGAGGCAGCATTATTGGTGGAATGGTATGAAGATAAATATAGCCAGACATGTGGCCAAGTGTTTGACGTGCCAGCAAGTGAAGGCACAACATTGTAAGTCCGGAGGATTATTACGACCTTTGGAAATCCTAGAATGGAAATGGGAACATATAACTATGGATTTTGTGACGGGATTACCAAGAAGCCAGAGAGGCCGTGATACTATTTGGGTGATTGTCGATAGATTGACAAAGTTGGCACACTTTTTGGCTGTGCGAAAAGACTTCGCATTAGATCGATATGCTGAGTTGTATATGCATCAAATAGTTCGATTGCATGGGGTACCAGTGACGATTACCTCAGATCGTGATCCTAGGTTTACCGTAAATTTTTGGAAAAGTCTGCAGACGACATTAGGATCAAAGCTGCAGTTTAGTACAGCTTACCATCCACAAACGGATGGCCAGTCTGAGAGGACAATTCAGACTTTAGAGGATATTCTTAGGGCATGTGTATTGGATTTTCAGGGTAAGTGGGAAGAGCAATTGCCCTTAGCAGAATTTGCGTATAATAATAGTCTTCAGCAGAGCATTGGAATGGCGCCCTTCGAAGCGTTATATGGCAGAGCATGTAGGACGCCCGTGTGTTGGAACGAAGTAGGAGAAAGGAGTATAACTGGGCCAGAATTAGTTCAACAGTCAGTTGAGGCTGTTAAGGTAATTCGTGAAAGGCTGAAAACAGCTCAAAGCCGCCAAAAGAGTTATGCAGACAGAAGGCGAAGAACTTTGGAGTTTCAAGTAGGGGATCACGTATTCCTTAAGGTATCGCCCATAAGAGGACTATCCAGATTCGGTAAGAAAGGGAAGTTGAGTCCGAGGTACGTAGGACCTTTTGAGGTTTTAGAAAAGATTGGAAATTTAGCTTACCGCCTTGCACTTCCGCCAAATTTGTCGCAAGTGCATAATGTGTTCCACGTATCAATGTTGAGAAAATATGAACCGGACCCAACTTACGTGTTGAATTATGAGGAGATAGAAGTCGATGACAGGGTGTCATATGTCGAGAGACCAGTAAGGATTGAAGATCGGAAAGAATGGGTTCTAAGGAATAAGACGATCCCGATGGTCAAGGTTCTTTGGGAACATCACGGGACAGAAGGCACGACGTGGGAAAGTGAAGAGCAAATGCAACGTCAATACCCCCACTTGTTTGAGTAGTTAGTGTGATTTGTAAATTTCGAAGACAAAATTTTTATAAGGGGGGAAGAGTTGTGACATTCTGAAATTCGACCCACTTGGGATTTATGAAATGGATAGTTTACGGACGTGCTTGTAGTTAGATCTTGCCCGAAATTGATTACTTCGGGAATACTAACCGTTAGGGAAAGGCTAATTAGGGATTTAAATTCGCGCGACCAAAGAACTCGATCGTGAACCGACTTTCGACCATGAAAATTGTCGAGGTGACATTTTGAGCCAATGTAGGCCGATCCAAGGATAGCTAGGGATCAGTTCGTCATTGTCATACGAGTGGATCGCGGGTGATTCCGCTTGACCACGAAATGAACTGACGAATGACCCTAAATCTATACCAAACGATCGTGCTCGTCGGATCTAGCGATCGATCCTCGCGATTAAGTGACAACCGAGATCGTCACGACCCGAGTAAACTTGAACGTGGCTTGATTTAGTATCGGCCACGGGTCAACAATGCGAATTTTCCCAAAAGCTACCCGTTAGTATGAGATATGCGCAAGTTACGTTATTTAGAACTTAGTCATTAATTAGAGATCAAGTTGGGCATTGAAAATTTAGAAAATCATGACAGATCATTTGGACGATGTTGTCATTTGCTCAGGTAGCCTCGGATTTGCCCGAATCCTTCATAAAAATTGAATTTCGGTGAGAAATGGAAAATGACCATTTTACCCCTGGAAGTTTGTTAAGGTCAATGTAATTGGGGAAGGGCATTTTGGTCATTTCGCCCTAGCCTTAGAAATATAAATTTTTGGACAATTTTGTCCTTGGACTTTTTGTGAAATCCCCAAATTGCCCTTTGATATTTTGAAAAAGATTCGATCCGGACCGTTGATCTCAAGATAAGATCGAATCTAGGCCGTTGATTTGGATTGTGAAAGAGGGGCATGATGGTCAATTGGCACACCAATAATTGACCTTAGATTATTTAAGTCCCAAACTCCTTCTCTCTCTCCTCACTCTCTCCCTCACTCTCGGTAAACCTCCCCCTCACCGACCGATTGCCTCCTCCCCTTTGGCCGTACCGCCGCCGTGCCGGCCACCGTCCGCCGTCGCTGCCCGCCCGGTCACCAAGCCGTGTCCTTGCCACCTTCTCGTCGCCGTCTCTCTCTCCTTTCCATGGCCGTGAGCAGCCGGCCGAGCAAGCCAGCCGTCCATCGCCTAGCCGTAGCAGCCACTCGTCGGAGCCGCCGCTCATCTCACCAACCCCCTCTCTCTCTCTCTCTCTCTCTCTCTCTCTCTCTCTCTCTCTCTCTCTCTCTCTCTCTCTCTCTCTCTCTCCTGTTTTGTCCTCACCGAGCACCACCACCAGCCCCCCCTACGATCCTGTTCAGCCTTGGGAAGCCAGCAGACCGCCAGCCACCGCCGCTCGCCGTACGCCGCCGCCGAGCCGCTCGCCGTCGCCGCTCGCCGCCGTGAGGCCAACGACCTGCTGCCCCAATTCCACTCTAGCCGAGCTAGCCTAGAGTTCGTGTAAGTCGCCCCCTAAACTCTATTTAGGATGTCGGGTATCGGTAGACTTGATTAGGGGCTGATCAGACTTAATTAGGGGCTATTTTGGGGTTTAATTGGGACTGTTTAGGGCTGTTCGGTTTGGATTAATTAGGGGCTGATGTTGGCTGACTTTAGGGGTGAAATGGTGATGGTTTGGGACTGAATTGAGGTGGAATTAGGTGCTGGAAATTGGGACTCGTAGTGACGAGCATATGGTTCGATTTAAGGGCAAATGGTGTCGGTTTGGTGCGTTGAACAGTGGCTGAATTGTGATGCTGGTTTTGACTTGAAATGAGTTCAGAAATGTCGAATTTATGCTCACCATATTGGCTGTGATTGTGGGCCCATTAGTGGCCTTGTATGTTTGTTAAATCGTGAGCTGAGTGATTTAAATGTGGGCTATTGTGTGCGCGCATGGGCTGAATTGATTTAATTGGTAATCGGCCATGATTGAATGTTGATTGAGCATGAGAAATGTGTGTGGTTTGGTGTGTGCACGGGCCAAGGGTAATTGGCTAATATATTGGCATGTTGGTGTCGAGCAAACGAACGAGTGAGAAATCGTGTATGATATTGTATGTGTGGTTACGGAAATCCCTGAGGCGGTACTATTACGCGGGCCACGAAGTGTTGTTATTGTGAGTTAGTCGCAGTGAACCTGAGGCAGTACTACTACGTGGGTCACTGGCGAGTCGAGTGGAAAATGTGAGATGGTCGCAGTGAACCTGATGCGGTACCGTTACGCGGGTCACTGGCGAGTCGGATGAAAAGAATGTGATGAGGCAGGAATGAGTGCGTAAAATATAATTAGAATGTGTATGTGATTGGAAATTGTGCTAATGTGGCTAACGTGCAGGTTGCACGCAGGAAAGGCCCTGGTAAGTATAAATTGTGTGCCTGATATGTGATGGCTAAATGTGGTTATGTTTGTGATTGTCTGGAGGTACGTGATAGCCTAGGTGGGGTTTAGGGTGTGTACTTATTGAGATGTATTCTCATGGTTGTTTCAACCAACAATTTCAGAACCCCGACCTGAGCCATGAATCTTCCGCCACCGCCGCCGCAGCGTTTTGGGATTCTTATGCACACCGATCATGATGTTGTGGAGTATCCAGTAGACGACGATAAGACCTGGATTAAACATACCACCGTAGTTTGGGTAGATGTAGGACTACCTATCTGACAGGCCCATACCCACGTTACCTGGATCTTTAGAGATGGGATAGATGAGTTTGGCCCCGTCCAAGGCTTTGATGTCCCTTTTGATGGAGTGGGGGATTGGGATCCGACCGCCGTACCCCCTTCCAGATGGTGAGATGACTAGTTTGGCGCAGTCTGGACATCAGGCCGCTCCTGCAACACCTGAGCCTCCCCTGGCCGAGCCTGATCTGGAGCTGGAAGAGTCCCAGGCAGGGTACGACCCGATGGATGTGGATCTCGAGGCAATACCCGAGGAGGAACTAGAAGAAGACGAGGCCCCAGAAAAAGAGCCCGAAGATGAGCATGAAGGAGAACCAGAGGACGCACCCGAGGGTGAGCTAGAGTATGTGCCAGAGTACGATCCTGAGTTTGTGCCGGAGGACGAGTCGGACGAGGGGTCAGATGAGGAGGAGCGGGTTGAGGTTCCAGCGAAGTCGGGTGATATAAACAACCCGATTAAGATTGAAGCCTCGCCGGAGTCCTCAGAGGAGCAGACAGTTCAGAGGGATTCAGATTCGGGTGATAAGGAGTCGGACTCTGAGTGGACGCCATCCAGAGGGCGTAGGGGCTAGTGTAGGGGCTGGAAGTAGGCCTTTTGAGGTGTTCCATTTTTGGAGATAGGGTACCCAGGCTATCAATCTTTTTGACATCGATGGTGTGTAGTTGATAGTACGGTGTGCATGTATAGGAGATGGATTGTATATGATGGATGTTGTATAAAGATGGTTAAGTAATGGATATGTTTATTCTCCCTTTTCACCCTAGTTATTCTTGTCCGGGTATTTGTGGCTTTCGCTGATTGTTTTAAATCTCTGATAAGTTGAATTTGGGTCAGCGATTTTCTGGGATGTCGCATTATTCGACTAGTGAAGGGTGTTGCGTGCTCGATGGGGTTCGGGGCGTGACAACTTGGGATACATCAGAAGTAGTCGATAAAATAAGTCGGAGATTTACCAATGATAAACTTCTCCAATTATCTTTATTGGTTCTAATAGTGAACTCCAAGGGCAGATTAAACATTTCATTAACCTCAAAATGAGGAAGACATGGAATGAAGCATCATTGAATCCGAAGGAAATCCGGTGTTGGAACAAAAAGTCAAATCAGGTTTGGATCCAAAAAACATTAAAGCCACCGAAAGACATTATCAAAAAAATTGACTAATCTTAGCAGCCTTTATACACAAATGACTCAAACAATTCCCTCTTTTCCTAGATAAATTCAGACACTATGGTCCGCATGAATCTGGGTTAAAATATCAGCAACATCTCTCCATTACTCCTCCAGCTGGAACTTGCAAGCGGAATATCGAAAGGGAACCTAAAGTTTGTAGTTTCTAATTTACGATCAACGTCTTTCATGAATTGAAAACAACACGCTTAGATAGAGAGAAAACGGCTTCACTTTCTAACAAAAAGGAAATCACTTTTCCTAAATCACTAAACAAATGAAACTAATAATTTTTTCTTGGAAATGATTTTCATGATAAAAAATTTTCTTTTATTATGAAAATTTTCGGTGAAACAAAAGCACGCAGTTTCTAATTTCCAAACTTCCATGGAGAAAGACCACTCGCACGAGGGAGCCGTCAGTGAATTTAACGGAGTGATTAGCTGTTGCATCGTTCGTCCACTTCGTATCAACTCCCACATTGAGCATGACAGAGCTCGAGAGTGTAGAGTGCGGACATGGCCGGAAACGAGAAATCGGGGAAGAAGACGAAGAAGAAGAATAGAGATTGAAGCGTGGGATAATTTTGGTTGAAAAAGCTCGTATGGTAGAGAACTAGAAATATTCAATTTTCATCCTTACTTCTACTTTTAATTTTTTTATATAATCTAAGCTTTCAGAATCAAAATTTTTTTTTGGGTCAGATTCTAAATTTAGTTGACACAAAAAAAGGCTCGACCTTTTAGTATAGACTCTTTGCTAAACTCGCTGAAAATAAAGACGTACTTACATGTATTACTTTTTGGAAATATCGTTTTATAATATTATATGTAATTTATTCATGATTTTCCAAATTTTGGTTTTGATTTTCTTCTTGTTGTATTTTGTTTCTTTTCTCTCTCTCTCTTTTTAGTTTTGTTGTCAAAGCTTTCTTCCCTATAGCAAATAATTTTTGTTAATATAAAATGACTTCCATTTTGGTGACGGTATTCCTATCACCGTTGGTACTAACTCGACCCATTAAACGGATGAGTCGGTTAGGATTTAGATTGGTCGAAAAAGAACTCAATTCAGATTGTTTCATTTTTATGCAATTTAAAAGTTAGGCTGAAGGAGGCTCCGTCAAATAAAAAAGTTTGAGTAAAGAATTTATAAAAATTGTAGATAAAGACGTAATTTAATACTTAAATATCTTAACAGTAATGATGACATTTAGGGGGGGTGGGGCGGCGGGTTGGCAATGGTCGCAGTCTCCACCTTATTTTTTCAAAACGTTTTGCCAACGGTTGTGAGCCCATGTCATCAAATCGGTAATTGTACAGTAATGATAATGTGCTTGAAATGCGTGTGTTCCCAATCCATTAAGACAATATGTAGTTAGTCATTTATATATTGGACCCATTTGATTCCGTCTTTAAAATTTCGAGGCAACTCATCATTGATATGCCCCATTAAATGTGAGTTACGGAAACTACCTCTAGTACTAATATAACAAACTTGGGTATGATTAGACTCTGCATAAGCGATAAAAATCTAATTGGAAAATGGCACAGTACTGCGCCTGCTTTGATGTGGTGATATTTTAATCGATTACTTGTGTGCCGCAATTTTAAAAGTTATTTATTTGAGGGACTTCGGTGATGTATCTCTGACTATTTGTTGTGTACATAACATATTGAGTGTGTTTATTTTAAAAAGATTTAAACCAAAGTGGAAAATCGGCCCGGCGATGCGAATTGATTTCGTTGCCTTCTTCATGAGCAGTCTTTGACTACAGAGGCAGCACAAGCAGCACTAGCGGTCCATCCATGGCAACTGATGGTGACGGCAATGCGCCGGCTGAAAGTCCACATCAACGCTGGCTATCCCTCGTCTTCCAATGAGAAGTCCCTCTATGTCGCCATGAAATTTGTCATGAATTGCGCCTGGGGCAAGAGAAGAACAATTTGGGGCTAGGGTTTTCGATTTGGTAACAGACAACACAAAGAAGACACAGTGATCTCGTCAGGAACGGAATCAACCGACATTGATTTGGAGTTGGCCCCAGTTCGTCAATTCGGAACAAGCAAAAAGCTGAACGGCAATGTTTATACACGCTGTTAATGACATCATCTTCACGGCTAGCCACTTCAAATGATTTTTCATTAGATTAATGCCACCCGGAGTTTTCAACAAAGGAAATCACTGAAAACACTCAACCGCTGAAAAGTTCAATTGTATACACAATTTTACCCCATACATAGAAAACAAAAATTAATATTAGTTTGTCGCTTCAACGTGGACCAGTTAAAACTGAGGGTGATAATGCAGTGGTAGCATTGAATTCTTGACCTGATTTATTTGCTCCATTAGTGGACGGCTGAGTAAAGAAATTGTAATCCAGGTTGTCTGGAACTTCCATGACACCCTCCATCACCTTGATGACCATCGACGTGGAAGGCCTCTTTGTATAATTTCCTTGCAAGCACCATGCAGCAATCCTCATCATAGTCAACACTTGAGACCCAATTAGTTGCATGTCCTCGTGATACTTATCCACAATGTCCAGCAACCGTTCCTCTTCTGCTTTTCTCTTAAAAAGGCTTAGTAAATGCATGTCTTCTTCATCTAGAGAGCGATCAAAGACTTTTCTCCCACAGACAGCGATCAAAGACTTTTCTCCCACAGACTATCTCCAAGATTACCACGCCAAAGCTATACACGTCAACCTTTTCAGTAATTGATGCACTCAGCCACTCGGGGGCCAAATAACCAGGAGTTCCTCTCATGTTTGTGACGACTCGGCTTTGGTTCCTATCGATCAACTTAGACATTCCAAAATCAGCAACCTTAGCATTGAAATTCCTATCCAAGAGAATATTTTGGGGTTTAATGTCTAGGTGTACAATCTTCAATCTGCAATCTTCATGAAGATAATTAAGTCCTTTTGCTATATCGAGAATGATCTTCTTTCTCTTTTGCCAGTCGAGAACACATTCATTGGATTTGTGAAAGATCCATCTATCTAGAGACCCATTCGACATATACTCATAAATAAGGATCCTGTGGGATTTCTCGGCACAAAACCCCACGAGTCTTACCAAGTTGATATGATGGATGCTACCAATAGTCTCAACTTCAGCTAGAAAGGATTTCTTGGCCTGCCCAAAACCATCAAGGCGCTTTACTGCAACTTTTGTGCCGTCAATTAGAGTACCCTCGAAAACAGAACCAAAACCACCTTCGCCAAGCTTTTTACTAAAGTCGTCTGTGATGGCTTTCAGATCATTGGACTTGAATCTTGTGGGCATTCCCGGTACTTGATCAAGGTATATCTCCTCTACTTCATTGTCATCTCTTTTCTGAACAAACAAAACTATGGCTACAATAAGAATCATCGTGGCAAAGAGAGCTCCGAGGCTGGACGCAAGTATTACAAGGAGACGGTTGCTCCTTCGATTGTTGACTAAAGCATTAGGAGCTTCATTGGTAGGAGGAGCTTCAGGAGAATGATTTAGAGACTTTGCGGAGTGCACATTTTGTACTTTTAGGTAAGCAGTAGAATTATAGGAATTCGTTTTCTTGTCAATGTTCATAAGTGAAAACACTTGAGTTGGTAAGTAACAACTGCCATTAGCAGGATTCGATCCATACATGAATATGGCCGCTTTGCAGGAACAGTTCTTTGCGCAGGCCTATTTACAACTTGAAGCATCTATGTTCTCGAGATTTGAAGTGAAAGCGAAGTACGTGACATCTGTGAGCTCCAGAAGACTTTGATTTTGTGAAGCCCCACAAGACAACGGAACATTCTCATAACACCCAAAATCAGGTTGAGTATCATCTACTGGCTTGAAATAGCTTGTTCCCCCATTCGAAGCCGGACAACTACATTGCCCGTTGGAGCAAATTCCATATTGTCCACACGCTGTCGGATAACCACAGTCCCCAAGATACTTCGTCAAAAGATCATCCACATCTACCCACACATATTCCCATTCCAAAGCATGATATTCCGACTGATACACTCTCAAATGCCCATCCGAGCCCAGCTTTATGTATTGTGCAGAAGATGCTTGAGGAACTGAAATCAAATTCACATTTCGGATAGAATTTGAGAAGAAAGCCAAGCTTCCATTTACGAACTCAACATATGGAGATTCAATATTTGCATTCCGATTATCAATAAGAGACTGGTAATAGATCTGAGGAGGACTAGTCTCCAATTGAGCAGATAAACCACGGCCATTCATGAAAAGCGTAATCATACTGTCTACGGTCCAGTTTGTCTGGGAAACACTCGGCACCAATCTTTGCCCCGCCATCAACTTTTGTCCGGGGACAAGCGAGTTGGTTGGATGATCAAAAGATTGCCAAATGGTCACATCATTCTTATCAAACAACACGAGCTTCCCCAAATCTG